TAATGGCAGACTTACACTGGCTTACAAAATTTTGTGAAATTTGCACAATTTAGAAAAGTGGAATTGAAGAACTTAAGGAAAATACAACTCTGAAATGTGTATATTTGTATGTCATATTGATATGATTATTTTTTTACAATTATTTTTATTAATTAATTTCATTCTTTACCAAAATATATTTTTTTTTGTTTAAATAATAACGATCAACTTTCAAATCGACCTTGTGTAAACCGTACATAATAACCCAATTGTTTCTTTCTCTCTCACAATAAAAAGTCAAGTCTCTTCCCCTAATCAATAAGACTTCGAAGGACAAATTTGATTACCTTCAATTATTATTATAATATTTTTTCTTATAATATTTTTTTATATTTTTCTCTTTTTTTCATGATTTTTTTTACTTTTTTACTTAAAATCATAGGTGCCCAAAATTAAAATGCGTTAGTATGTGTGAGAGAAAACAGAACAGTACTGAACAAAATTGTGTGTACATTTTTGTGGTCGGAAAAAATTATTGATGAATTCAATTTTTGTTATTATATAAAATAAAAGCATTATTAAAAATGTTTTTATATGAATTACAAAGTGTATATGTCATAAAAATCTAATAAAGTTTATAAAGTAGCATATACCGAGATAATAATCATATTATAATATTAAATACTACGATAATTATCAAATATTTAATTCTTTAAAAAAACAGAAATTGTTCTGTTGTTTTTAAAATTTTTTAAACATACAAAACGCATTTTGAATAATAAAATAAAAATCCAAATATACTGAAACACTTTTATCCCTAAGTGTTATTTCGTTGATTTTCTAGTTCTGCGGACACGACGTCGTGCGCGCACCCCAGTATGTGTTCATTCGTTGCCTGTCAAACAACGACTGACTGAAAGAGCATAACAATGCGTGTGAGTAGGCAGCTACTTTAAAGTATACTGATGGGCACCTATGCTTAAAATGTATTTTTTTCATTTAAAAGTTAGCCAACACTTCCAAATTCACCTTGTGTAAACCGTACATAATACCCCATTAGACAAGGACTCTCTCTCCCTCAATAATAACCCAAGTATATTCTTCTTCTCAATAACACATCATTAAAAGTCTGAAGAAATAATTTAAATATATTTATTTATTTCTTATACCAATAAATATAATTATTTATTTTTTTTATAATAAACCCCTTAATTTTTTATATAATCTTTTATTTTTCTTTTTAATTTTATTAAATCATCACAAAAACTCTGTAATATACTGTAATAAAGAAACCCCCCATCAACACTGCCAAGCCAACCTCATTATTCGCACTCACTCTCAACTCTCTTTATCCCCTCCCTTCATATTCTTCTTTTGTTTATACACCTCAATCTCTGTGTCATATGCTGAAAGAACTCTGTTCTATTTTTGTGCATGTTCTTTATTTATTTATGTAGGTATGTACGTATGTGTGTGTCTCTGTTGTGTAAATGATCTTGCACTTGCATGCATTTTACCTTTGATCAAACAGACAGCACACGCATCATCATCATCTTCACAATGGACGATGTAATTATCGGCTAAGCCTTTTCATGTTGTTGTTGTTGGTCGGTCTTGTGGCTTAACAACAACAGCAACAATAAAACCGAGTGTTGTGATTTTGTTATACATTTGCATACATTGTTGTGTTGTTGTTGTTATTATTATTGCCATTATTAGCGGTAATGCAAATCATGTTCTTGCATACATTGTTGTTGTTGTTATTATTGTTGCCGTTATTGGTGGTAATATAAATCGTGCAATTATTTTTTTTTTTCAATTTTTGCCTATGGCCATATTTATTTGGTATAAAATCTTACGAACTAACAGAAATGGCTTACTGTACTAAAATCTTATATTATGTGGCTACTCGCTACTTACAACTAAAATACAAAGTTTAACTGTGGGTTAACCACTAGTACATATTTACCAAAAATCCAAAAGGAAACATAAACAAAAATTGCCCCAAAAAATCCAATATTAAAAAATGGGCTTACTTATTTTTTATCTTAAAACTAAAAACTTAATACTAAATACTTAAAACTAAAACTAAAAACTACTATATACATATTTACAATATTTACAGTGCACAGGCTGACCACATTGTGCTATGGAAGACAAAGTTCCAATGTGATCAACTACTGCGCATTATTATATACAATATCATCGAGGTTGTATGTATTCCGTCTCCTGTGGTAATACAGCAACTCACCGTCGATGTACAGCATATCTTGCTGCAGAAGCTGGGACAGGGCACCCGGGGGTAGGTACCGGCACCTTCTGAGACCTTCTGCGTCTAGGTCGCAACGCAAGGCATCCTCCACCGCCCTATTTTGCAGTCCGTCACTCCTACTTAAGAATTCCAGTGCACCTGTAATCAGGACCCTGTCAATTCTCTCACCTCCTGCCCTATCATAGATGGCTCTATTAGAATGCCGTCTGATAGTTCCGTCCTGGCTATATGCGAGCCCACTTAGGCCTACACAAGTAGCCAGAACCCTACGCTCCCACTTCCTAAGCCTTTCCATCTGGTGTGACGAGATGTCATACCAGACTGGGAAAGCGTAGGCAATTATCGGCCGGATAATCTGTCGATATATCAGCAGCTTTACTTCGGGAGTTAGCCCGCCGCGCATCTTCAACAAGCCGTGATAGCTGAAGAAGACCCTTTTTGCTCTAGCCAGGATAAAATCTATATGCCTGTTGAAGTCAAATTTCTGATGAAAAATGACTCCCAGGTATTTTATCCTGTCCTTTACCTCCACGATATTAAGACCAATTTGTAGGACCGGACGGTAGGTCCTATAACTTGGCAAAATATATCGTGTGCTACCCGTTATCATTATAGCCGAGCACTTTTCGCCATTAATCTTTAGACCCCATAAGGTAAAGAACCTATCTAGGATCGCAAGATAATCATTCAGCTGTGCTTCCACTGTGCGAGCCAGTGGACCTGTAAACGCCAGAAGCACGTCATCGGCATAAGATAATGCTAACCCTCCATGAGGAGGTTGTGGCATATCACTGACGTAGATGTTATATAACATCGGCCCGAGGAGTGATCCTTGGGGTACGCCTGCCAGAAGGGGTTTCCGACTAGAGAGTCTCTCACCAACCTTCACCCTGTAGAATCTATCAGCTAGAAAACTACCTACTAACCTGCAGGTTTGATAATCAAAACCAAACTGCTGCAGTTTGTACAATAATCCCTGATGCCATACGGAATCAAAGGCCTTTGATATAAATCGTGCATTGTTTTGATTTTTCTTTGTAATGACGACGGGCAAAAGAGAGAGCACGACAGAGTGAGTCAGCTGAGCTGAGAGAGAAGCAGTATCATGTCAATTGAACTGCATGCATTAATGAGCGAGAGCAGAGTTTGTTCTTTCATTTCATTGCATGTCATAAACAATGCCAGCCGATTCCCGCCATATTCTGCAAATAGCCAACATTCTGTGTAGATTTCTTTGCAATTCTTATCGATTTATGATAGTTTAATCTACAATATCGCAAAAAATATCAACTATTATTAATAACAATGACCTTGAAGTTGAGGAATAACTGCACAAAACATTTTATAGCAGTTTTATAATTTTATGGTGACAAATGCTTGCGAATGACATGAAAATGCAAATTTAATTATCAATGAATTAACATTTAAGAGATGTTTACGATTGTTAGCACCATTGATGGCTACAAAATATTACCGGTCAAAAAAAGGTATTAAATAACAGATTTCTTTTGTTTTATTTATTATTTAATTTAAATATTTTGTTTGACGTAATTTTAGAACAATAGAAGTTTTATTATGCAATTTTTTAAGCGGTCGATAATTTTTCATGTGGTTCATAAAGGCGTGACAATAGGTTCGTTCGTTTACTTTCCCAGTAATATTTACTCAGTAAGAATTTGCAGAGAGTTTTACGATTTTTTCCTTTTCAAGAGAGAAAACTGCAAAAAGTAAACGAACAACATCCAGTAAAGATTGTTTCGACTCAGCTGATTAAAACAACAAACAAATTGGCGCGAAAAAAAACAGCATTTTTATTAGAAAAATGGATAACAAGCGGAAATTTGATGTTGTTTGTTCCCCACAAACATTTAAAAGGGTTGTGACCTGTTATTCCTGTATCTGCAACTGATATTGGGGTGGACATAACCGATGGTGTTCCAGACATGTTAGGGATGCACACTTTTTTGTTTGGATTTGGAACCTAAAAAATCGTTCGCCAATTACTCTTGTATTACCTTATTTTTAAATACTTGCGTTTTCTTCATCCATTTTGGTATTTAATGATACAAAATCAATATAAAATTCACAAAACAATCAATTTTCTTGAGAACAATTTTTTGTTTGTTTACAAAACATAACAAAACAGCTGATTAAATATCAGCTGATGATACAAGAAAATTCTTACTGAGTAAATTTTCCTTGTAAGAATTTGCAAATACTCAGTAACACAACTGTCAAATCTGCTCTCTCAATTCACTCTCTTTTACTGGACTTTTGGGTAAACGAACAACATTTTGTAATAATTTGTACAAATTCGTACAAATTATTGAGTAAACGAACGAACCTAATATCAGCAGTAGCATGTAGGCGATTACATATGTCGATCAAAGATAGTATAATTTATTTAAGGGATTGATTTAGAGAGACAAGCTGTAGCTGATTCTATCGATCGAAGTCAATAGTGTAAAAAGAAAAAACATTATTTAAAAAATCCACGCCTAATATGGGTCCTGAAGAAACATATTTCAATAATCCACGCCTCATATGGGCCCTGAAGATAAATATTTCAATAATCCACGCCCCATATGGGTCCTGAAGGAAAATATTTCAATAATCCACGCCACATATGGGCCCTTGGAAAAATAGATTTTTTTTTAATTCCAGATCTTTTAAATCTTCCTACTCCTAAGCTGTCCTATTTGCCTATTTTGCTCAATAATATTAATTTTTGTATTCTTTTTATTTCCAGTAAAAGTGATTGGAGAGCGTCAAATTCTCAAAGGTGTTAGCGGAAGCTTTCGCAATGGCCAATTATCGGCCATTATGGGTCCGTCTGGTGCCGGAAAAAGTAGTTTACTAAATGCCATATCGGGATATGTGTAAGTTTTATAAATAAGATTTACAATCAATTAAATTATTTCCCCTAATCTCCCTTTCCCTCACAGCACATCCGGCGTTGAAGGCCTAATAAGTATAGATCGCAAACACTCCTGTTATATTACCCAAGAAGATCATCATCAAACATTGCTCAGTGTTGAGGAACTCATGAATCTTGCCTGTGATCTCAAATTGAAACGGAATCATCAACAAAAGAAATCGGAATTGATAAGTGATATTTTGGAAAGTTTAAATTTAAATCATCGTCGTAATGTCAATGCCAATGATTTGAGTGGTGGGGAGAGAAAACGTTTGTCGGTTGCTTTGGAATTGGTGGCAAATCCGAAAATATTTTTCCTCGATGAACCAACAAGCGGTTTAGATGAGGTGACTGCGGCTCAATGTATACGTCTGCTAAGATCTCTGGCCCAAAGGGGTCATACCGTTGTGTGTACCATACATCAGCCATCGGCTACGATTTTTAATTATTTTGATAATGTATACGTTTTGGCTAAGGGTAAATGTGTCTATCAGGGTTCACCGAAGGCCTTGGTGTCCTATCTCAGTCATGCCGAAAAGGAGTGCCCCCGACATTATAGTCCAGCGGATTATAGTAAGTTGATACTTCTAAATTTTGAAATTAAAATTAATAATTTGTTTCCTTTCTTTTCCTAGTTATTGAACTGTGTGACTTTGAGGATCCCCAAATGATATCGACCCTCAGTGCCCTGGTCGATAATGGCAAATTGAGATATACGGCAGAGTGTGATCAAGAATATTCCTCGTTCTCAATGAAATATGATCAGCATACGAGTCATAGTTTTATGCCATTCCGCCAGGCTCTATTTTCATTATTTCCCGAATCACCACCATCGAAATCATTCTCCTCCATTTTCAACAGCAAAACAAAGTCGGATGGTAGCACTCTGTTGAATAATGGTAAAATTGTATTGCTGGATCAAGCTAAAACCCTATTGCGACAATTATCGACAGATCGTCAGGAGACGGATGGTCATATATCAGGATTTCAACAATTTTCCGTTCTATTACATATTTTGTTTTTGAGAATTTTGCGAGCTCGCATTCCGATAATTATACAAATTCTACATCATTTAATGGTGGGATTGCTGTTTGGTAGGTTTGAAGAAATAATTTTTTAGGAATGAACCTTTTTTAATAATTTTGTTTTTTTTTTCAGGTGTCCTTTATTTCAAGAGAGGCAATCAAGGTTCGGAATTTTTTGGCCATTTGAAGTACTGCATCAGTGTAATTGTAATGATCACCTATACTCAGACAATTATACCGGTTATTAGCTGTAAGTATACCAATCGAATCCACACCATTTGCAAACACCGACACTTTCTTTGGAGGTTACAATGTTTGGCCGACATTTCGAGATTTATTTACAGCAATATACATTAAGAACTCAAAACTAAGCAATGTGGAGAAACTTTTTCATTTGACCCAAAAACACAAACCGGTGAAGCCAGAGAAATTATAAGCCACGCCTCCCACTGACAAATGATGGATTCGAGTTAGCGTAGAAAAATTTAATCGATAGATACGAGAATCAAAGAATGCAGGTGAACGAGCAGCTGAAAATATTATTCACGTTGCCCCATGTTACCACCGGCTCGAGTTCCAGCATTCAGATGTTGCAGCGAACAGTAAATAGCTGCATACAAACCCCAGACACATTAAAGGTTGAAGTTTCAGGATGGGACCCAATATTAATATATCTTTGTTCCAGCAAACTTCCAGACACTTTCTGGAAGACTTTGAAAATTTCCTTGGTGATTGTAAGATCCTCACATAATGGGAGGAATTTGACAAATTTTTAACCCACAGATTTAAGACTTTAGAGTCTGTGGGAAACATCAAACCGAAGTTTTCAAATAGTTTTCATACAAATATCAATCAAAAATCCGAAAAACAAATTTACGAAGTTATTTTAATGCAAATGTTTCTCAACAACCTAAGACTCCAATTCAAAATAAGTGTCAGATTTGCAAAAATAACCAATCCACGCCTAAAATGGGTCCTGGAAAAAAATATTTAAAAATTCACGCCTGAAATGGGTCCTGGAAAAAAATATTTAAAAATCCACGCCTGAAATGGGTCCTGGAAAAAAATATTTAAAAATCCACGCCTGAAATGGGTCCTGGAAAAAAATATTTAAAAATCCACGCCTGAAATGGGTCCTGGAAAAAATTATTTAAAAATCCATGCCTGAAATGGGTCCTGGAAAAAATTATTTAAAAATCCACGCCTGAAATGGGTCCTGGAAAAAATTATTTAAAAATCCACGCCTGAAATGGGTCCTGGAAAAAATTATTTAAAAATCCTCGCCTGAAATGGGTCCTGGAAAAAATTATTTAAAAATCCACGCCTGAAATGGGTCCTGGAAAAAATTATTTAAAAATCCACGCCTGAAATGGGTCCTGGAAAAAATTATTTAAAAAATCCACGCCTCATATGGGTCCTAGAAAGAAAATCCACGCCTCATATAGTCACTGAAAAAAATTATTTAAAAAATCTACTCCTCATTGAAAACATTTTTTTCTTCTTTCAGATCCCTTGGAAGTGAAAATTGTTAAGAAACAAACATTCAACCACTGGTATTCCCTATCGACATATTTTATGGCCCTATGCATGAGTCGAATGCCCCTCCAACTGTTCTACAATATTATTTTCCTTACCCTTAGCTATTGGATGACTGGATTTCCATTTCAATGGTGGCGTTTTGCCATTTTTGTGGCAGTTGGCATAATGGTATCGCTGGTGGCCGAAGGTTTGGGTCTGACAATTGGTGCCGCACTAAGTATAACGGTGGGTAATAGATACACATTTCGATGTAATTTTTTTATAATTGTCTCTTTTTCATCTTCCCCCCAGAACGGTTCTGTTTTTGGTCCCATGAGCATTGCCGGCTTTATGGGCTTGGCCATTTATGGCTTTGATTTTGCCGGACAAATTTCCCCCGCCATGGATTGGTTTATGAAAATTAGTTTTATGCGTGACGGTGTTGTTGCCCTGGTCATAACCATATTCGGTTATGGTCGTGACATTTTAGATTGCGATGAAATCTATTGTCATTTTAGTAATCCCAGGGTATTGTTGAAATTTTTAAATCTAGAAAATGTTAGTGTACTCCATCAGATATTGTACTTATTTGTATTGTTTGTTGTTTTTCGAATATCATTGTTTATATCGTTGTGGAGACGTTGCAAGACATAGAAGTAGTTTGGTTTTTTATTTTATTTTTTAAGAGAATGTATTTGTATTTTTTGTATTAAAACGTATGTGGGGGGTAATTTTTACTGTGATAACTATTAAGTGAATTTTTTCAAAATATTTTTTGTATATACATATATGAACATAAAGCTCTCGATTTTTTTATTATTATTAATATTAAATATTCCATTTATCCAAAGAATGTTTAATTATTATATGTTTTATATGAATGGTGTATAATAATTCCATCTTGTTTTTTTATAATAATAAATATACAGAAGCATAAAAATGAGTGCAGAACTTGGAAAAAATTATTTAAAAAATCCACGCCTTATATGGATTCGAGTTAGCGTGGAAAAATGTAATCGATAGATACCAGAATCAAAGGATGCAGGTGAACGAACAGCTGAAAATATTATTGACGTTACCACAGACTCGAGTTCCAGCATTCAGAAGTTGCAGCGAACAGTAAATAGGTGCATACAAAACTTAGACACATAAAAGGTTGAAGTATGTTTGTTCCAGCAAACTTCCAAGACACTTTCTAGAAGACTTTGAAAATTTCTTTGGTGATTGTAAGATTCTCCTGAAAATAATGGGCCCTGAAAATAATTATTTAAGAAATCCACGCCTTTTAGGGCCCTGAAAATAATTATTTAAGAAATCCACGCCTTTTAGGGCCCTGAAAATAATTATTTAAGAAATCCACGCCTTTTAGGGCCCTGAAAATAATTATTTAAGAAATCCACGCCTTTTAGGGCCCTGAAAATAATTATTTAAGAAATCCACGCCTTTGGACCCCGAAAAAAATCAAATATTTAAAAAATCCAGGGAGGATTTTAGTGTTTTTCTATACATATTAGTATATTTTATTCCGATTTAAAAAATATATACATGCATATATCTAAAAAAATATATTTTCCAATTAAAAAAATATATTACAAAAATCTAAGATTAAAAAAAATAATTCTCTATTTCTTGGCACTGGCCATCTTCTCTTTACGTTTCTTGACATGTTTCTTGACTTTCACTTTGCGTTTTTCGGCCTGAGCTTCTTTGACGGCCTTTTTGCGGGCCTTCTTACTTTCCGGCGATTCATCACGGGGACGGGCGGAATTTTTAAACTTTGTATCACCATCATCTTCGTCGTCCTCACTTGATCCACCATCCTCTTCAGCTTCATCATCCTCCTCCTCCCCACCTTCACCCTCCTTCTTTTCCAAATTCTTTTCATTTTCTTGCTGTTCCTTTTCCGATAAAATTGCCGGTTTCTTTTGTACCTCCAAATTCTCATTGAGACCGGTAATTTTGCCATAAATTAAATTTTGTTTTTCACCCTTTTTCACCTTGTCCACATCGCGTTCGAAGTAGCGCACTTCATCCAAACGTTTGGGTATAAAGGTTTGTTGCCACACCGCTTCATCGATTTTCTCCTGGGCCGTTATGGCCTCAAAATCACGATCTTTAATTTTTTCCGATATCTTCTCCAAGCAGGTTTCCATATTTTCCTCGGTAATGGTTTGATCTGTGATGAAATCGAATAGCTCTTTTACGGTCATTGTGGCCACAGCCTTTTTGCGGAAAAATTCCGAGATATTTGTACAATCTTTACGCAAGAAATCAAAAGCATGGGGATGATCATGTTCCACAGATTGCGAGACATCAATAATTATCAATTGGCCATCTTCTACGAGAATGTTAAATTCCGAAAGATCGGCATGGACCAGGCGGCATTTGTTATAAATTTTCCACATGAGTACAACACAATCACGATACAATTCTCGAGCCTTGGAGGTGGTCAGCTCCACATCTTTCAGTTTGGGTGATGGCCAACCATTTTTACCACAAAAACGCATTACCAAAACATGAGACCTCAGGAGAATGGGTTCTGGCACCGGCACTCCAGCATTATACATACGCAAATAATTACGCATTTCCTTTTCGGCCCAAGTTCGCACCATCTTCCTGGGATTGTGACGACAATAGCCGTGGCGAAAACGAAATTCACCACTCACATATTTATCACGATCTTTAAATACCAATATTGAGGTCTTGTAGATTTTAATGGCAAACTCGTCATCGGTATCTCGGGACACAGCGTGATAGACATTTGCCTCTTTACCGGTGGATATGCAACCATTAATCTCCTGGATTAAACCACGATTTAAAAGTTTGAACAAAATCATACGTGTCCTTGGATCCATAACCTGTTCTGCCGTGGCTCGATCATGTTTATCACGGATTTTGATTTTATTATCCTGTTTCGAATCGAAGGAGACCAAACGATTAGCCGCCTGGGCTGACATATTTGTGGTTGGATCGTATTTTTCCACATTAATACGGGCTGAGTAGCGTGTAAATAACTTTTCATTGGGTTGATAACTGCTAACACGTTGTGAGGAATGTTGATGTGCAGCACCGCCACCTCCACCACCAGTTCCGGAGGATGCCGACAAATGATTATTGTGTTTTTGAAAACCTGCATAATTTTCTTCATAATCATAATTATCTTGATAATCAATATCATCTTCATCCTCATCGTCATAATAATCATAGTCATTGTTGGCATCTGCCTCCTCTTGGTCCTCCTCTTCGTCGGCATCTTCATTGCTTAGGATTTTCTCCTTCAAGTCGTCTGTTGTGTTTTCCACCACACCCTTTAAATCTTTAAAGATTTCATCTTTTACTGTTAACTTTTTAAAACCGGCAACCAAATTTTCCTGTAAAAATTCAGGAATTAATGAAAAATTCCAAAAAATTTCCCAAGAGAAACCCAATTGTAGACACCTTACCTTGTAGGGAATCTGCTCGTCTTCTTCTGCATCACTAAATTGATGTAAATCGGCCATATTTTATATTAATCATATAAAATGGGCCTGGTAGTATAAATATTTTGTAAAATTGCTAATAATTTTCCAAGAAAAATACGAATTTTCTTTAATTTTTTATGAAATTACAAAAAATCTGCGTTGTATGGCTGCTGCTCTCTGCACGTGTTTATGTTTACATTTGCCCACACAACACAACTACACAGTGACAGCTATAAACAGCTGATGGCTGAAATCAAATAAAGCGACGGCGTAAAGAGTTTGGCGTCTGGCGAAATTTACGTGTGGGCAAAGGAGGTTAAATTAAATTAATTTTTTATAGAGAAAAATGAAAAATGAGGTAAAAATTAAAAAAAAAAATACTAAAAAATCCACGCCTCTCATGGGCTCTGAAAAAATTATTTAAAAACTGCACCTTTCATATGGGCCCTGAAAAAAATTATTTAAAAACTGCACCTTTCTTATGAGCCCTGAAAAAAATTATTTAAAAACTGCACCTTTCATATGAGCCCTGAAAAAAATTATTTAAAAAATCTATGCCTTAGAAGATAGGCATTGAAAAATCATTTAAAAAATCCACGTCTTAAAAGATAGGCCTTGAAAAAAAAATCATTTAAAAAATCCACGCCTTAGAAGATAGACCTTGAAGAAGAATTATTTAAAAAAATCCTCGCTTGAAAAAATAATTTAAAAATCCACGCCATAGAAGATAGGCCCTGAAAAAAATTATTTAAAAAATCCAGGCTTAAGAAGATAGGCCCTGAAAATATCTTAAAAACCAATGCCTCCTATGGGCCCGAAAAAAAGATATTAAAATATCCACGCCTCAAATAGGCCCGGAAAAATTATTTAAAAAAAAAACTTACCCCTCATTTACATTTTTTTCTTTTCCCCCATTTTTGTTGATGGTGGAACGCTTTTAATTTTGTTTGGCTCTCTCGGTTAGCCTTTCGCTCAAAACACATGGTAGCATTGACATATTTCACAAGAAGAAGCATACATGCTGCACTGAGAGGTTCGTTTTAGTCAAAAAATTCTTTTTGCCGGATTTTTGTGATGTAAACCCCGTGAAAATTTTATAAAAATAACTAAATCTCAATGTCTTTACAGATTTTGAATACCGTTTTGAAAACCCGTATTCAATTCGTCGCGAATATCCATAAATTTGCTGGTGGCTTTGCAAAGCAACGAAGAGAATTTGCCAGCACATCATTGTTGTCGTCTGCAGTACCCCGGCGGCACCCTTCGGCAGAAACAGCAGCAGTTGCAACATTTTTTTCCAATACCAACAGTGATTTGTCATCACCGCGAAGACGTTTTAAAAGTTCACAACCCGCAGCAGCACCAAATAAAACTCCCACTTGGGGTTCAAAGAAAACCAAACGTAACGTCCGCTTAAATCTAAAAGACATCATGACTAATCCTGAAATTGAAGAACAATTGGCTCCATTGCGTGCTGCCGTCCAAGAGCAGGGCAATTTGGTGCGCGAACTCAAGGCAAATGGTGCCGCTGAAATTGATGTGAAAAAGGCTGTGGCCGAATTGAAGCTGAGGAAAAAGGTACTCGAAGACAAGGAGCTGGAATTGACCCCCACTGTGGTGACATTTGATCGTTCAAAAATGGAAGATCTGCTCAAACGTCGTTTCTTCTATGATCAAAGTTTTGCCATTTATGGTGGCATCACCGGCCAATATGATTTCGGACCCATGGGTTGTGCCCTAAAATCGAATATTTTGAGTTTATGGCGTCAATTCTTTAGCCTCGAGGAACAAATGTTGGAAGTGGATTGCTCCATTCTAACACCCGAACCTGTACTCAAGGCTTCCGGTCACGTGGATCGTTTTGCCGATTTGATGGTGAAGGATGTTAAAACCGGTGAATGTTTCCGTTTGGATCATTTAATTAAAAATGCCTTGGAAAAATTGTCACGTGAAAAAACTGCCACTGCTGAGTTGAAGGCTGAATGTGAAGATATTTGCATTAAATTAGATGGCATGAACAAACAAGAAATGGCTGATGTTTTGACGAAATATAATATCAAATCTCCCCTAACCGGCAACGATTTGACCGAACCCATTGAATTTAATTTGATGTTTGCCACCCAAATCGGCCCCACTGGCTTAGTCAAGGGTTTCCTACGTCCCGAAACTGCCCAAGGTATCTTCGTGAACTTTAAACGCCTGCTGGAATTCAATCAGGGTAAATTACCCTTTGCTGTGGCCCAAATTGGCAATTCATTCCGTAATGAAATTTCACCACGTTCCGGTTTGATTCGTGTGCGTGAATTCACCATGGCTGAAATTGAACATTTCTGTGATCCCACGCAAAAGGATCATCCCAAGTTTGAGACCATTGCCGATACAGAAATGACCTTGTACTCCGCCTGTAATCAAATGGATGGTAAATCAGCCCAAAAGATACGCATTGGAGATGCTGTCAAGACTGGTTTGGTGGCCAATGAAACATTGGGCTATTACATGGCCAGGATTCATCAATTCCTTCTGACCATTGGCATTAAGACGGAATGTTTGCGTTTCCGCCAACACATGAGCAATGAAATGGCCCATTATGCCTGTGACTGTTGGGATGCTGAGTGTTTGACCAGTTACGGTTGGGTTGAGTGTGTTGGTTGTGCTGATCGTTCGGCCTATGATTTGAGCCAGCATATGGCTGCCACTGGTGTCCGTTTGGTGGCTGAAAAACGTTTGCCAGCTCCCAAGACCGTTGAGGTATCTGAAATCGTGCCCAACAAACAAACTTTGGGTAAGACCTTCAAAAAGGATGCCAAGGCCATTACCGATGCTTTGGCAAAATTGTCCTTGGACGATGTCAAGAGCGTGGAGCAACAATTAAATGATGCCAAGGAATACACTTTGAAAACTGATGAAGGTGCTGAATTCAAATTGACACCCGACACCATTTCCGTAAAGCACTCCACTAAGACGGTACATGTTGAAGAAATCATTCCAAGTGTTGTGGAACCATCCTTCGGTATTGGTCGTATTATGTATGCCCTTCTGGAACAGAACTTTATGTGTCGTGATGGTGATGAACAACGTTGTTACTTTACCCTGCCATCAGTGGTGGCACCACTGAAATGTTCCATTTTGCCTTTATCCAATAATGCTGAATTCCAACCTTATACACGCCAATTATCCTCGGCTTTGACCAAGGCTGAATTGTCTCACAAAGTTGATGATTCCAGTGGTTCAATTGGTCGTCGTTATGCCCGTACCGATGAAATTGCCATACCATTTGGTATCACCGTTGATTTTGATACCCTCAAGGAGCCACACACTGTCACGTTGAGAGATCGCAACACCATGAAACAGGTTCGTGTTGACATCAACGAAGTGATTGATGTTGTCAAGGATCTATCGACTGGCCGAATGCAATGGTCACAAGTTTTGGAGAAATATCCATTGTTCGAACAGCAAGAGGCTACCACTAAGTAAGGAGGTGTAGGTGAGAATTGGAAATTGTTCAAATAATGTTTCCTTTTTCTTATATATCTACTACCTATGGCTATTTATTTTTTGTAGTTACTGATTGATTTATTTTTTTTTTTATTTAACTCGACTCAATTTTGGTTTCTTTTTCTTTTGGGTTTTTATTATAATTTTTTGCTTTATCTATAAAAGAAAATATAAAGTTTACAGCGCATTTATAAAACAAAATAACACATGTAACAGATAAATCGAAATTATTATTTTTTTAAATAAATAAAAATGCTTAAAGCAAATTGAAAAAATAAGAGTTTAATTTTTAAAAATAGTAGAGAAAATGCTAGTCAAAATTGTTAATGACCCAGACGGTAAATTTTTAATTAATCTACTGGTGTTATTTTTAAAGAACACAATGAGGGTATGTTCAGTGTAAATGTTAAGACACTTATGTTAGGTTTTAACTGAACATATTCTATTCAATATTATTTCTTTTGGTATTTTAAGCTAGAACTATTATTACCAAAAGAAAATCGTACAGTAATTTAACAACACGATCGAAAAATAGATCTTGATTCATTTATTTTCTAAATTTCGCTTTAGCAACTTTGGAAAGAATACGTTACACTGTGGTATGTTCAGTGTCAATGGGAATACTAGGAGGAATGTTAGTTTTTGCTCAATTAGTAGTTGCTCAAATTTTTATTTTTTTGTTCGTATTTAATACCGAAATAATTATTGCCAGAATATGTCGGAACAAATAAAATAATGCCACGATAATAAAAACAATTAATTTATTTGTATTTTTAATTTTTTCCTGCTGTGAAAAACAATTGCCGTTAAAATCATTGTTCATGCAGTTGCACAGAAAGACTAGATGACAGTGGGGTGTGTTCAGTGTAAGTAGTATTAATTTTATGTTTTTTGGGCATTAACTGAACAGATGCTCATACTTTATTTATTTACTTCTTTTTTGTATTTTAGTCGATAAATATTATGAAAAGTTTTTGTAAGAGTAATAAAAAATCTACAAAAACAAGAAATCTCTGAGTTTTTTTATTAAATTCCCATGCAACGGCTTAGAAAGAATAATGTATGGCGTGGTATGTTCAGTGTAAGTAATAGTAATGCTATATTTTTTATGTAGGCTTTAATTGAACAGATGTTGTTAATTACTGTTTGTTTTTGTATAAAAATAATTAATTGCTTCCTTTTTTATATTTCATATGCAACAGCTTGAAATAATAATAATGTATAGGGAGGTATGTTCAGTGAAAGTAGTATCTTGTGCGCTTTTATTGAACATATGCTATTCATTGTTTTTTTTATTTTATTTTGTATTTTAGCCGGAAATAATTATAAAATGTGCTTGGAAAAGTAGTAACAAATTATTAATTGCTTTCTTTCCTTAATTTTCACATGCAAATGCTTAAAAAAAAAATAATAATAATGTATGGTGTGGTATCTTCAGTGAGAGTTGTATACTATGGGCTTTTACATTACATATGCTTGTTATTTATATTATTTATTAAAAATTATTATTAAAAAGGAATGGGAATAATTGTAAAAAATATCCAAAATAACTAAAAAAACTCCCTTAATTATCGTTTTCTTTTATTAATTTCCCATGCAACCGGTTAATAAGAATAATATACGTGTGGTATGTTCAGTGTCAATGTTGCTCTCTCACAACACATGAGGCACTGTGTCAAGCAACATGTGAATGAGCTTCAAATCAGAGCACAAACAATCGAACGGAAAGAGACTTCAAAAAACCGTTGTTGTTTTACAACTACAAAGTCAAAAGTCGATTGATAGATCCCTAACAAGTCGTTTTTCGCCATTTAAATCCCTAACTCCGCGACGACAACCCAATAAGACGAAAAGAAGAAACACATGGTGGCGATTAGTTTTAGTTTTTTGCTCGGTTGCAAATAAACAATAAATGCGCGCAAAAATAAAACAATAATTAATTATTTAATATATTAAATAAACCAAGTGAAACGTGGCCACTGTAAAAAGCATTGCTAAATAAGTGTTTAGCATTTAAATAATATAGAAAAAGTAAAAGAGAAATAAAGAAGACGAAGACATAACATAACAGAGCATGTTTGGTTGAGAAAATCACATGCAGTCATTATTTAAAAAGTGCTGTGAACGAAACAAAATTCCAATACAGTAAAAAATATTGGAATTATTTCTGCAAAAAAAAAAGACATATAATTAGAAACAGTGTGTGATATTTTTGTGTAGTAAAAAAGCGTTATTGATTTTTTAAAGAAGTTTATATTTTCTATATCCTATATACCGGATCCTCTTCGTCGTCCCCTACCAAAAAAATAAGAACGACCGCGTGTTTTTTGCTTTTGCTTGCCGGGCCGCGCACTTCTACCAACGACGTACGTATTCCCCCACAAGCAATAACAATACCAACAACAACAACAACAACAACAACAGCAGCAACTTGATTTGCACAGTTTCCCCTTTTGGCTACAACAACAACTTCGTAGTTCACGTTTTTTTGTTTTGATACAATTGTTGTTTTTGTTGCTTGCTGATTTTTTTGTATAGAGACATATCTTGTGTTTATACAACAACAACAAGACAAATTTGTGCTCTGCTGATTTTTTTGCTTAATTGAAAATTCTGCTGCATCTTGCTCTGCTCCTCCTCCGTTTGGCAAAAGGTTAGTTGTTTTGAAAAATTTTATTAATTAAAAAAAATTAATATTTTTTTGTATTTTTTAGAATTCCAACAACAAAAAATATGAAATATATTTTGGTAACTGGTGGCGTTATCAGTGGTGTCGGCAAAGGGGTCATTGCCTCATCATTTGGTACCCTGTTGAAATCGTGTGGTTTGGATGTAACATCCATTAAAATCGATCCATATATAAATATAGATGCCGGTACCTTTTCACCCTATGAACATGGTAAGTAGTAAAATTTTTTCGAATAGAATTTATTAATTTTTATTTTTTTAATTTATATTTAAAAACCCGTAAAGCAATGATATATATGTATGTGATCTTGGCAACAGGTTTTAAAAATATTCTTCTTTATTTACAACAATAACAAATGTCTGCTGAGTGACGTATTTATTTATATATCTATACACTTTTTTTTTTGCTATTACGAAGGTCAGATTTGTATACCTAGCTACTATCTACCCATTAGTGTACGTATGTCTTACTCTTATTTAATTTTTGTTAGCATTTGTTTATGTTTATTTTTTTTATTCTTTATCTTTCATTGATTTTTAGCTATTCTATTTCCTTCTTTGCAAAACGGCGTGGTTGTATGATTTGTTGAATATATACCTATGTATGTATATACGATGGTTCGCCTATGTGTGGCGTTTTAGCGCTTGATATTGTTTTGGTTCGCAGCCAAAAGAAATGTCGTCGTCGCCCAAAACGTATTTTTTTTTTGTTTTCAAATTTATTTCTCACACGCCCTTCCGAACATGAAAACATGCTAAGTTCAAAGGGTAATATTTTGAAGTTAAGAAAGAGTTTAGTTTTTAAGATTAAAGAACAAAGGTTACAAAATTTTGAAGACAGATGGTCTGTTCCTGAAATGCAAGAATCTACTAATTTGTACTATTTTTTCCGATATCATAAAGTTATTAATTGCTATCGTAGTAAAAAATATATGAATTGTTACCGTACAGCAAGAATCTACTAGATTTTAATAATTTCTTCGATATCGAAAATTCGTTATCGTAATAAAAAGTAGTAGATACTTGCAGTAAGCGAACAGCCCAAAAGATTCTTGCAGGTTCTGGTACAGACATTGAATTTTAGATTTAATTTAATATTTATGTCAAAATTTTTTTTTCTTTTTTTTACACATTTATGACTCCCGATTATTTTATTCTTAAAAGGAATTACAAATCACATGTGTCTATTACTATGTTATCAATTTCTCTTTTTATTGATGCCGTCTCCCCTATTAGCAACTAATAAATTATTTTTTTTTCGCAAAATAAACACAACTATTTGTGATAGAAGAAAAAAACCCAAACAATGTCCATTGTCATTTGAATGATAGCAACAACATTTTTTCTTTTTACACCATGTGCATACATTAATATTTGTTGTTTTGATTTGAATTTTTTTGTTCCTCGTCTAATTTCTTATCATCATTTATTTTTTTGCAATGAATGAATGAACCATTTATATGTGTGGCGATACTCGTGCATAGTTTTGTTATTGCAAAAAATGAAAAAAGACAAATAGTTTGATTTGTTTACATTGCCTTTGAAATGGCGCAATAATATTTGTGTTTATATTTGAAATATTTTTTTGTAATATTTTTATTATTATTTATATCCATATATTCATTCAAATCCCTAAGCACTTTTTGTTATTGTTGTTATTCTAGTAATTAAGTTACTGAGATTTTTGTAAATTTGTAAGAAGTAAGAATGGTCTCTATGACCATCGAATATTAATGACTATTTAAGAGCTCCATGTGAGCTCCACCGTGGGAAGGATAGTTCTGTATAGAAGGTACGATTAAAGTGGGAATTTTTTATAATTCAGATAAGGTCCTATGTAACATATGGAAGCTTGTATATATAAAAATCAGTGATTCCATATAAGGTTTTATGTAAAATATGAGAAATCCTAAAATGCCTGCATGAGACCCCTTTAAAAGGGTCTTATATGCTACAAGAGATACCATAAGATATCGTTGAGGTCAGAAATTCAAACTATTTCCTTAGTAAAAACAATTTTACGACCTGTACTTTGAGTTCACAAATCCATTTTTTTTTTTTCTTAATAAAAACAAATTTACGACCTGTACATCGATTTTTTTTCTTTGGTCATAAAATCTACAATTTGGGGTTGCGATTTTTCCAGCCAAAACCACCCATAGGTATAAAAAACCGGACCTCATATAAAGTCGTATATAAGAGACCCTACAAGGGGACTTTGAGTTCAGAAATCCATTTTTTTCTCACAAGAAAATTATTAAGACCAGATTATCGATTTTTTTCTAAAAAAATTTAAATACTCGGCGATTTTTTTCATAAAAACATGCCGTATATGAGGAATCTCAGTATTAGAGATACAACGAGGGATAACGATATTAACGATAACGAAAATTGTATGGCTTGAACATCGACTTTTTTCTTCAGGAAAAATGTAGAATTCTGATTTTTTTTTTCAGATAACAATTTTCAGAATCTGTGGAATCTCAGGATTTTCAGATCAATCCACTTTTCCCTATGATTAAAATATTATCCATTTTTATTCGTTGTCATAAAAAAAATATTTGTGATCTGAAAATCGATTTGAAATGTGAGATCCCATAAGATGCCTTATATAATATAAGATACCCCCATAAAACGGTCCTTAGTAGTGATTCTGAAAAGCGATTATACAATAAAAATTATCCTCTGGACCTGATAATTTTTTTCTTCGATATTTTTGCTATAGGAAAAATCGATAAGTATCTGTTGAATCTCAGGTTTAGATCAATCGTCTCTGAAAATCTATTTTTTTTTTCTTCAGAAAAAATATCTAAAATTCTTAGAATCTACTTTGTTCCCAGAAAAAAAAATCGTCCATTATATGAGGAATCTGAGGATTTGAAATCAATCGATATTCTCCTGTAGACGAAAATTATATCTCCGGACATGAGGATGTTTTAGAACCTAGAGATTTTGTTTCTATATAAAAATATATTATATGAAAAATAGATAATCAGTTAGTTTTTTTCCTATAGGAAAAATCGTTCCTAGAGATGTAGGGATTTTTCTTATGGCGGAAAATCTATACTCCGGTCCTAAGTTTTTTTTATATCCACCGCACCTGTCGGTCAAGTTCTTTTTTATTTTCCTGCTTGGGTTTTGGTCGAAAGAAGATTTTTTTTTTAAATCGTCAAAATTTTAAAATTAAAATGAAAAGGCCCACTTAAGGGGACCCCCCCATTCTCGGGGTCAAAAATTTTGTTGATATAATTCGAATCTACACTAATTAAAGAATGTCCCTAAAAAAATTCAAATGAAAATCTCAAGAAGTCTTGAAGATATAGCCGATTTATTGTGTCAGCATCAAGTGACGGCTGAAGGGCTTCTCAAACTTAAAACGCGTTTTTCTCTAAACATTTTTTTGCGAATGGCGTGCACGATAACTCAAAAACTTCAAATTTTTACACGTTTCTCTGTGAGTGTGTAGCTATCGTATGAACTAGGATAAAGCCAATCGGTGAAGATCTTCCTTATTTTTTGACTTGGGTTTTGGTAAAAAATCGGCGATTTTCCAAAAATATTTTTTTAAAGGTCCACCATTTTGTTAATTTTAGAGCGAAGTCAATAATCCTAGTTCATACGAGAGCCAGACATGTACTCTTTCTAACACCGTTGGAATTTTCGGATTCCGATGTTCCAGTGAGGAGTTATCATGCCCGCCATCGAAAATAAGGACTTTTCTTTAATTACAAAAAACAATAACAAAACAATAACAATTTTTTTTTGTAAATTATTTTTCTTCTCTTTTAAATCTTCAATTATATATGTGTAAAGTTACAAACCTTAACAAGCATTGGTATTGATTTACCAGCCCATTGAAAATCTTGAAAAATTAAAATCGAGAATGGGTGGGGTTCCCTTAAATGGTTTTTTCTAAAGCATTTCGGATTTTTCAAACGGTATTAGTCCTAGTTATCTTCGGACATTTTTTAATTGACATTTTTCAAGAACTCTTCTAACCTGGGATTTTTTCTTAAGCACCTTAGGCTAGAATTGTTTGCATATTTCTTTTACAATCAACCCTTAAGTTCTAAGGGGAAATCATTGGTATATACTTTGTTTATATTAAATATCGGAAAAGTAATGGTGATCGGAAGGAGGAGAAAACGTATTTTTTTGAAAAGTGTATTTATTCCGAAAATGACTGTCTTGAGTTTTCTTCAAATTTTGTATTTATTTAGCTCTTGTAATGGATTACGACCCTTATTTTATTATTTTTGTATTTTCCAATTGCTAACTGAAATGTTCTCCACAAGTATCCTTGAATTCAATTAAGACACAACAACAAGTAAAAGTCGATTACCTTTTACACAGCCATCTTGACAACCTGCTGCCCTGTATACAATTTCTCTGTCTGCTATCGTTTTCTGTAGCGATTGGAGGTAGTCTCTTTTCTCTTCATCATGTAAAATCTTTGCTTTACATTTCATTAATGTAATTCAAAGCTTCTCGAACTACCATAGCTACCATTTGCAGCTTTAAATTTTAGAATAACTATCACATGAATCAACATCATCATCATTTACGATTATTATCCTCAGGCACTTCATTATGATGTCTTCGCGAACTAAAGCTTTTGGTTATAATAACAACAGCAGCAACAACTCAGAGTAACCGTTTCCACGACAGAGAGTTCTACGATCCGAAACGACTCGAGTCTTACTCGGCCAACGTCTGTCACCTCAGCCCATTGCTACAACAACAATAACAACTCAGAGTGACAGCAAATGTAACTCCTTGTAGCCCCCCCCCCCACGTTTTCCAAACTTACATTTAGTCTTCCTCTTCGTTGTTTTCTGGCAGGCTGAGGCATATTTTCTATGTTTCGATTCTGGACAATTTATGCCTGGCTGGCTGCCTTGCCTTGTCCGACTGTGATGGCTAAATTGCTTGCCGTTTCGTTCTTTGTTGGTTGTACACGTATAATTTTCTTCTTTTGAAATGTTACGAACCCAAACTGCCAGCCATAGCTGCTTGTCATCGTAATGCCTGACTGGCGCATATAAAAATTACAAGGAATCAGGGAATACAACAGTTCTACCGCCAACAGCTACCATAGCCTTGCATGCTTTCATCAGTGAATTTCAGTCTCCGTGTGTTGTGTGTGCGCCTGTGTCTGGCATTTCCGTTCCTGCTGACTGTCGTCTGACTTGCCATTCATCCATGCTACAA